TTGAAAAATTACTATTAATTACTTTGAAAAGTTACTATTAATTACTTTAAAGGTTACTTTTAATTATTTTTACAAAGACCCTAATGTTACAGGCTGCTGACCAGTGGTGCAGCATTTGGTCCTCCTCATCAACACATGAATACCCCCCAAAAGGAAGGAGGCCGTGGTACAGGGAAGTCCTTGAACTGTGGGCGATGTTCTCCCACCACAATTTTGTTAGGCCCCTCCCCTGTAACTATTAAAGTTACTGTCCTCACATTCTTTGGGGAGGCAAAAGTTATATCTTCTTTACTGGAGAAGAGTCATGAACAGCTATAGCTACTTAAATCCCTTCCTCTCCTCTAAATCAATCTCCTCTTTGTTATCCAGCCAGCCTAGATATGAGGAGTAATGAAGTTCCAAGTAATGGAACTACTGTAAACAGTTACCTAATGAAGTTACATTTCAAAATTAACAGAAGTTCTAACAGCATTTCGCTGTTAGAACACGTCACACACTCTTGAAAACAACTTAAGAAGTTGTTTTCAAATCATATTTTTTTCGAACGCATTTCGACAAGGATTTTTCAGGTTTGATCCCATTCCCTCTGAAAGGGTCCACAGAGTTTGAAGGGGGAGAGAAGAGCCACACGCTACCAGAAATAGGAGGGAGAGGAATAAAGGAAAGAGAATGTAGAAAATCTGCGGTGAAACAACTGGTCGGGTTGTGAGACTCCTTGCTTTCAGAACAGCTCCCCTCAGCCTGGCCCTTTCCAGACCCTTCAACTACAACTCCCACCATCCCCAACCCAGCAATCAGACGGTGAGACGTGTTCGCCTCTGGAGAAATGCCACGTCGAGGCACACGACTTCACTTCCTTGCGCCAACAACAAAATGGGCCAATTTCCAGACAACAAAGACAGCTGGCATGTCCGACACCATTTTCTCAGTCAGTCCTGTGGTTTCGAATGTGAATACGAACAATTACGGTAATGGCAACTTAATGTGTCTCAAAATTAAGAATTCTGTGCTGGTAGCACAGATAATTACCCCAACCACGGAGGGGAGGCTTAGTCTGTTCTTATGCCATGGGATGTCCTTTCTCTTAATGCCCCTCAGAGTTTGCTATCATTAATCAATTAACATTTTTTATTCATGATAACCATTATATAATGGCCAAAATCGGGTTGCCTAGCTCAGCCTGCATGACCTGACCTTGTGCAAGCAGCTACTAAATCTCCAACGAGGTGGAGCTTGTGCCTGGCCGGCAGTTCCACAGGTGCAGCTGGCTGACTTATTCTGTAATCCGTGGCGCAGCTCTTTTGCACAAAGGGACCCCTCTTGAATAATCTCTCGTTCGGAGAGCTTCTTTCCCTCGTTGCTGCCTACGTTCTCCCTGTAACTACCTCTTTGGGCAGGATCCTCCATCACACAGACCAGTGGTACCCAACCTCGGGCCTCCAGATGTTCTTGGACTGCAACTCCCAGAAGCCTTCACCATCACCTCTGCTGGCCTGGATTTCTGGGAGCTGAGGTCCAAGAACATCTATCTGGAAGCCCAAGGTTGGGGACCACTGGCATAGACCTCCACTCCTTTTCCCATTCGTGCGTCTCCAGGAAACACCTTGCGCTTTTGCAGATGTCTGGAGCTGATCAGACGTCTATGCATGAAGTTACAAATGGCTAACTGAAACGGCCAATGAAGGGACATATATTGGGATGAAACTTGGCACAATTTTGCATCTGTTAAAAGGGAGGTATCCGATAAACCCTTTGTAAAACAGGATTGGTGAGGAAAAAAAATAGTTGCGCCCTAGCAGCAAGCATTTCTTACTTATCAATGGTGAAGGGATCGGTCTCCCAACTGCTAAGAGCTGATGTCCAAACCTAAGACTGACAGATGGGCCCTTGTCGGGCATACTTTTAATTATTCAGTCGTATTTTAACGAGTGTATTGTTTGTTTTTTAATGTATCATAGGTAAACGTTCCCCTTGACATTTTGTCCAGTTGTGTCTGACTCTAGGGCTCGGTGCTCATCATCCCCGTCTCTAAGCCATAGAGCTAGCGTTTGTCCGAAGGCGGTTTCCGTGGACACGTGGCTAGACACGGAATGCCGTTAATGTATCATAATGTATCATAGAAAAGTGAAGTTGGAAGGGGCCTATAAAGGCCATCAAGTCCTATTCCCTGCTCAAGACAGGAATACAAATCAAAGTAATCTGACAGGTGGTTGTCTAAGTTTTTCTTGAATGCCTCCAGGGTTGGAGCGCACACCACCGACTGTAATGCCTCCAGGGTTGGAGCGCTCACCACCGATTGTGGTCATGGGTCCCATTGTCGTACTGCTCTAACAGTTAGGAAGTTTTTCCTGATATTCAACCAGAATCTGGCTTCCTTTAACTTGAGCCCATTGTTGCGTGTCCTGCACTCTGGGATGATTGAGAACAGATCTTGCCCCTCCCCTGTAGGACAGCCTTTCAGGTATTTGAAAATGATCTCCTATCACCCCTCAGTCTTCTTTGCTCAAGGCTAAAGATGCCCAGTTCTTTCAGCCTTTCCTCCTAAGGCTTGGTTTCCAGCCTCCTGACCGTCCTTGCTGTCTTCCACTGAACTTGTCTCAGTTGGCCAGCATCCTTCTTGAAGTGTGGTGTCCAGAACTGGATTTAATGGATTATGTTTTTCATTCTGTTCTTTCAGGAGAGAGGGGGCCTATAAAGAAATAAAACAAAGGAAGGAAGGAAGGAAGCAGGTGATGGTTGTTGTAGGTTTTTCGGGCTCTTTGGACGTGTTCTGAAGGTTATTCTTCCTAATGTTTTGCCAGTCTCTGTGGCCATGGGCATCTTCAGAGGACAAGAGTCAGAACTCTGTCTGTGCTCTGTTGCAGTTTTGTGGGATAGCTGAGTATTTATAGCTGTGGGATCAACTTTTGTCCTTTTCAGGAGACTGGGTGATTATATAAATACTATAAATACTCCCACAAAACTGCCCTAGAACACAGACCGAGTTCTAACTCCTGTCCTCTGAAGATGCCAACCACAGAGACTGGCGGCACATTAGGAAGAAAAACCTCCAGAACACGGTCAAACAGCCTGAAAAACCTACAACCACCATTGGATCCCAGCCATGAAAGCTTTCAAGAATACAAAAAAAACAGGCCCTTGTGAACGAGAGAGTGGACTTTGTATTGTCACTGGGAAAAGTGGGGTCTCTGTGGAGGGTGAGCAAAAGCACCTTTTCCCCCTGGAAATCTGAATTCCTTTATTATTTTACTGTACACCGACAGATATATTGCCGTATAGTGGTGCTCACGGAATGTGTGCAAATTATGTTAACTTACCCTTATGCAGCTTTGCTTCCCCTGGAAAAATTCTGCAGATCCCCTTGATGTGTGTGTGTGTGTGTGTGTGTGTGTGTGTGTGTCTGTCTGTCTGTCTGTCTGTCTGTCTGTCTCTGTCTCTGTCTCTGTCTCTGTGTGTGTCTCTGTGTGTGTGTGTACGTGTGCACGCATGCATGTGTGCACGCATCTGAACAACAAAAACACTCACAAGTCACAAAGCTGACACTTCTTACTTTATTTTGCTCCAAATAGCAAGATGGGCCCAAGCGCGTGTATGAATCACGGATCGGTTCTCTCCCCTGTTCTGTGTGTTCACTCTCAGCTTTTTTAACTTTTTAAAAAACTTCAAACTGTTTTAAAGATTTTATGTTTTTTTCAGTTGCCTTACCCACCTCTGTTACTGGCCCTGAGATCTTGCAATAGAGGCAGGCTATAAATGTCTTAAAGAAAAGAAAAGGCATTAGCCTCCCTACCTGGAGATCTGATGACGAATAGGACTTCCCTAAAGTTTGTGGCAGACTAGAACACAAGCGGCTTGGGTTCCAATCCCTGCTTGACCATGGAGACCTACTGAACGCTGGTGCTCAAGACGGTTGTCAGAAGTGACTGGATGATCGAAAAACAACAGCAGCCATAATAAAGGCTCCCCCTGCACGCAGTTGTTTTGCTCTTAATAAGGGTGATGTTGCCAACAGGACTGAGAAACGAGAATCTCTGGTGCTCCAGCCTGGACAGGCAACTCTCTTTAAAGCTAAAAGTTTAAAAAGGCAAAAACTTCATGGCCCCTTAAAGACTGTCTTTTATATATATATTTTTAATGGGAGCTTTCATGGACATGTCCACTTCATTAGACTTGTCCAGGAAAGCTCACATTTAAAAAAAATACATAAAAGTTAGTTTTTAAGGGGCTAATTTTTTTTCTTTTTAAAATGTCTTGATTTTTATTTTGTTTTCACCGACTCTTTTATTTTGCTTGCCCAGAGTAACACGGCTACCCCTTCGACAACGACATCTTTGAAGTTAAAAAGCCTTTGTTTTCAACCCCTTGACTTACATCACTAAGTTTACTGCTCCTGGGATGGTTCTGCTCACCAGCCCTTTGAAAGTTTACAAACAGTGTTATAAACCTTGTTCCAGGAGACTTGCCCTTTTCTGTACCTGGTTTCATCCTGTCCCTTAGTGTTCTATGCCAGTTCAGGGTTGTTTCCATCTAGAAATCACTTTTGGCAGTCAAGGATAGCTTTAAGAAAACTTCTCCAATATCATCTTGTCGCTTTCTTCATTGTCCGGCTTCTGCTCTGTACACCGTTTTTTTTCGGGAATGCCATCATGTAAATTGTATTCTCCTTCGTCTCCAGGGACATACAGTATCCTTCTTATTAAGGATTTTCCCCCCTGGTCTATTGGTTGTTTAGCAGAGCTTCCTGTTCCACCCCGGTGCCGTCTTGTAGAGTTTGGAAAACTGCAGCTGGCTCTTTGGAGGATTTGGGGAGCTGTCATCCAAAAAATGTCATGTCTTCCAGGTCTGCTTCTCATGGACCACAGGGAAGTCCTCGTTGTCAAAACTGAGAACACTCAGCTTTGAAGGATGGTTCCTTTCCGCCTCCGTATTCTTCACCTGCTCTCTTTTCTCTTTCCTTTTCGTACAGGTACCTGCGAACCCTCTACCTGGGCCTCCAGAGCCGCTGGCAATCGGAGCACCGAAGGCGCCATTTCTACTGGAGGATGATGTTCGAAAGTGCTGACATCAGCATGCTGCGGCTCCTAGAGACCTTTCTCAAGAGCGCCCCGCAGCTGGTCCTGCAGTTGAGCATCATGATCCAACAGAACTACATCGAACCCTTGCAGGGTGAGTGGGGCCAAGGCCAGCTGGCCCGGTATCCTGCTTCTAGCCAGCTGCAAACCTGAGCCTCTTGTCCCTCATCACTCTAAGCCATGGTTTGTATTAAATATGTAGGATGTGTTGATTAAGACACAAATTCCCCAGCAGACGGTAGAATGAACAGAGGCCGATCCTTCCCAGCTCCATATTGTTTCTGGTTGATTTCTTCCTAGCTTCTGGTGTGAGCTCCTGTTTGAGAGGGATCAGTGAGGAGACAAGCCAGGAACAAGCCACAATGGAAGGCTCAGGCTTCCCAAGAAGCCATGTTTTAAACAAAGCAGAGCCGGTAAGCCAACACTACGCCATGGATACAGATTGGGTGTTTTGGCTGGTTAACAAACTATAGCTAGTGGAGGGGGGCACATACCGCAACAAGCCAGGTTTCAATAAACCACATCATGGCTTGTTGCAATACATGAACACAGTCCAAAGAATGGGACAAGGATTTGATTAAATAATGGGTGTGAGTGTGGGAGCACGGATAGATAGATAGATAGATAGATAGATAGATAGATAGATAGATAGATAGATAGATAGATAGATAGACAGACAGACAGACAGACAGACAGACAGACAGACAGACAGACAGACAGACAGACAGACAGACAGACAGATAGATAGATGTGCAATGTTGTGCAGAAGCACTTTGTGCAATGCTAGCATTCTTTCCCTTTGTAAAGCAAAGCACACACCTGCACAGTGTGTATGGATCGCAAAGAGGCAAATAGCCCACCCGATACACTTCTGGCTAGTCAAAATTTTGTGCAACAAGACAGCAGGTGTCCAGGCTTTTCTGCAGAACTTGCACAAACATTACTCTTGCAGGTATTTGAAAACTCCTGTTGAATCTTGCAGCAAATGCCTCGCACACGAAGAACGTTTCATTCGTGTGCAAGAGGACAAGGAAAGGGAGGGTTTGCATCTTTAAACTACAGATATTTTATTTCCATTTTTAAGGAGAAAAATAATAATTCCCCCCCCCATACCTTCAACTTTTCAGAAATGTTCTATCTCTTCCTGTCCCTTCGTCCTCTCCCTTGTAGTGCTCATCTTGTGCCACCTTTCTTCTTATCTTACACCTCTCTGTCTCACCACCCTGTCTCCCTCCGATTCCAGGATTCTACCTCGGTTTCTTGCTTTCCATATGTCCTCCTTCTGCCTGAACTCTGCCACCTCTGGAGACTTCCTGTTTTCCATTTTGACCACTTTGGGCCTGAACAACACCCAGCTTATTGCTTTCATGAGCCTTCCCTGTGGAGGCCGGTCAGATACTTGCCTCTCGTTGCGTCTAGAAATCTTTTTTAGGGATAGAGCAGGAGGTAAGAATCGACGTGCGCATTTGTCCCAACTATTTTGATCTCCTGTGGGACAGGCTAGTTGGCTCCTTTTGCTGGTGGCCAGGTGAAGTAAATGGCAGCACAAAAGCAGCCAGTCTGCTGATCATGGCTACCTGGACCTTTCTGGCTCCCTGTCAGGGACTACCACTTTTTAGAGGCAGGTAGGAGGACTCCCGACTTAGATCATTTACGGCGTGTCTAATTGTTGGAACTGAAGCAAAAGCAGAACTTGCCAGTTTCAATTTCCCATTATCGTTCACCTCAGCCATTTAATGATGTTGGGAAACTGAAAACTTCCTCTCCTCCTCTGTGAGGAGTGGGCACAAAGGGTTTTTAAAAACCTGTTAGGGCAGCGCTGATGCACTGTATCCTTTAGAAAAAAACAAAAAAAACCCCGAAAGCTTCCTCCCAGAGATGCACTGTATCCTTTAGAAAAAAACAAACAAACAAAAAGAAAGCTTCCTCCCAGAAGGAGGAGGAGGAGGCAGGAGCAAGCAAGGAGGGTAATTTTCTTGGTTCCTTTTTTCCTTGTTTTCTCCCTTTTCTTAAGGGAGGTGGGCCAAATAGGGTTGCTTGAGGTGTGGATGCCCAGTGGATACAAGGATCACACCAAACGGGAGACCTCTATATGACCTTAAGCCACCCTATTTAGACCGATCCAGCTCAATTCAGCTGAGCTGTCTAGTCAAACCCAGTTAGAGAACCCCTAGAATGTGGCTGTAGGCATGCTGATAACTTTTATGGCAGAGGGATGAGGCTTATTAAATCACATTGGAAACCCACACACACGCCTTTGGGGCCCCACTGAGTCTTCCTCTGCATCCCCAAAGCTCATGGACATCCCTGAATCCAGTGACCAGAGAGATGCTCAGTGGCATGAGGTACAGAAATGAAAACGTTGGTGTTCAAGGCGTGCTTTGAAAAGCCAACCCGTACTTTGAGTGCAAGCCCCAAAAATTGGTATCAACGCCTGAAAGCCCTTTAGGCTCATGAATCAATCTGCCTTCTGGCCACTGGTTCACTATGTACTTCGTGAAGACGTCAACCTCCCATCTCTCAAGTGGCAATGAGTTCCGAGGGCTCCTTTATGATTTGCATGAAGAAGCCTGTACTTTCCCTTGCCAACGATCCCCTTTGGGTGACCCAACCTGGGATTTTACATTTTACGGAAACAGCAAATTCTTCCGATCATGTCTGTCCTCTGTCCGTTCCTCCTGCCCCCCAAAAGAAATGCTTAAGAAGAAAGAGACCCCCCCTCCCTCCCTTTGCTTACGACAGCCTTTTCTCTCCCAGCTCCTCTCCTGTTGTGCATTATATTTTTACTGGGGGGGGGTCGGGGTGGATGGGGCATCAGGAACCAGCATGACCGCTGAATTTTGATACTGTTCCTTCCCATCTCATGATTCCGCCACGTCCGTAAGGTCTCCATTCCCACAGTCTTTCTTCCCTTCCTCCATCCTGTATCCCTAACCCTAACCAAACCTTCACAGGTGGTTGTCCTGCTTCCACCTTCTTTTTTGTGCCTGCAGATCCAGGCTGTGTGGCTTCCTCTTTCCTCTTGGCTCCCTTTCGTGTCTCTCCACATTGTCCTCTTCCTGCTTCCTTCTGCTTTTCCTCCGGCTTCGCCCCCAACCCCGTCCTCTTCCTTGTGATCTTCTCTTCCTCCCCTTAATTCCCTGCTTCCCTTTTCTCTCTCTCTCTCTCTGTCTCTCTCTTTTTGCCTGGGCAGGTCTCTCCGCCTCGGCTTCCCTGGTCTCCCTGGCCTGGACCCTCGCCTCTTACCAGAAGGTGCTTCGGGACTCCCGGGAGGACAAGATGCCCATGTCGTACAAGGGGGCCGTGGTGCAGATCCTCTGGCACCTCTTCACCATCGCCGCCCGAGCCATCGCCTTCGCCCTCTTCGCCTCCGTGTTCCAGCTCTACTTCGGCATCTTCATCGTCACCCACTGGTGCATCATGACCTTCTGGATTATCCAGGGCGAGACGGACTTCTGCATGTCCAAGTGGGAGGAGATCATCTACAATATGGTGGTGGGCATCATCTACATCTTCTGCTGGTTCAACGTCAAGGAAGGCCGGAGCCGTTGCCGCATGTCCATCTACTACGTCATCACCCTGTCCGAGAACGCGGCCCTGACGGGCCTCTGGTATTTCTACCGGAAAGGGAGCGTCATCTCCGAGTCCAATGCCTTAATCATCGTCTGCGTCGTCACCTCCAGCTTCGCCTTAGGGGTCTTCTTCATGTTGATTTACTACTGCCTCTTGCACCCCAGCGGGACCATCTTCGGGCCCCGCCGAACGGGCTGCCTGTGCGGCAAGGAGCCCACGGCGGTCCCTTGCGGGGGCGGGCCCCCCGCGGACGTGGTCACCAGCCCCCCGCGCTCCTTGCCGAGGACTACAGGGGCCGAGAGGGAAGGGGTGCCCGGTGACCGGGACAGCTGCGTGCCGGTCTTTCAGGTCAGGCCCAGCGTGCCCCCGACCCCGCTTGCCCGAGCCCCGCGGACAGAGGGACCCATCATCCGCATTGATTTGCCTCGGAAAAAATACCCCGCCTGGGACGCCCACTTCATCGACAGGCGCCTCCGCAAGACCATTCTCGCCCTGGAGTACACCTCTCCCGCCACTCCGCGCCTGCAGTACCGCAGCGTGGGCGTCTCTCAGGAGCTGCTGGAGTACGAGACCACCGTGTGAGGTGGCCCGGAGGCGCTACGTAACCCTCCCACCAAGTGGTGGCCCCGTAGGGCCCTTGCCGGAGCGGGGCTGGCTTCTAGGTGGCCAAAGCCAGGCGGGCTTGTGAGCCTTCTCCAAGGTTCTGGGTTTGGGGGGGGAAGAAGTGGGAGGGCGGTGGCCCCGAAACATCAGCAGGTCCTCCCTCTCGCCTGTCTCTCGTTAGCCATTCGGACCGGTCACTCCGCCTTCACACACCGCCAAGGACTGCAAGGGCCAGCCCTTCCTCGGGCAGGATCCGACCCCTCTCACCGATGGGAGTAAACGAGAGGCTTTTTGGTGCTATTTACCACTCCACGCCTCCACACCGGTTGGGTTTCCCCATAACCTCCTCACCTCCAGGCAGTCCACGGGCTTTCTCTTCCTACTCCCCGCCCCCCACCAGACTCCACCGTCAGCAGGAGGCCCTGCGAGGTGGGACACCCACCTGTGCCCTCACCCTCCGAGGTAGAGGGCGTGGCCATTACCTCACCTGAGAGCGAAAGCCTTCTAAGGCCATGGACCATTCGGCTCTCTCTGGCCATCAGGAAAAGGGCTGGCCATGCGTGGGGAGAGGTAAATGTTCAAATTGGGGGGGGGGCAAGTGGTGGTCCTGGCAGAACCCAGGTGGAGGCACTGGGCAGACCAAAGGGGGCTGCTAAGAGTGGAAGCATGGGCCTCGGAGTAGATGCTCAACGGCTGTGTGGCACGGGCTGGTATCTGGAACGATTGGAGCCAGGGCTTGGATCTATTGGTGGGTTTTATTTCTGGGTTTTGTAAAAAGAAAGAAAGAAAGAAAAAAGAAAAAGGACCAGGGGGTGGATCGTGGCCCAAGTAGGAGATCAGGATCCGGCATTTCCAAGACCATGCCTGTTTTCTCTCCCTTTGTTCCTCCTACCCATTGTCCTTGTACTGGGCCCACAGCCCTTACTGGGATGGCTTTGGGTGACTCTGGAGGCTAAAGTGGAGAGAGAAACACAGGGACTCCTGAGGACCGATCCGCTGTGAAACCTGCAGGAGCTGAAAGTTAGGGGGAAAGGTGGGGAGTTCAAGTCTCCAAGGCTTTCGAGAGCCTCGGCAACTCTTGACGAATCTCTCCATTATGCTCATGCATTTACAAGATGTTGATGGAAAGCTGACACGGAGCGATTCCAGAAGGAAGGGTATCTTTCTTTTATCCTACGCCTCCTTGGTAGGAAAGGTAGTGCAAATTCCGGATAAGCTCCTTTTTGAGTCCATCCGGGTGGGGGAGTAATCATCCGGGGGGGGGAGGTGAAGCAGCAGCAAAATGGCAAAGCTTTGGGCTGCTCAGATGCTAAGCCACAAAATGGGTCACGAAGGGATGTTATCTACATCGCAGCTTGGTCCTGGTGTCCTATCACTGTAACTTTTTCCCCAGAGAAACCCTAGGAACGGAGGTTCTCTGTATCGTTTCCCTGGCTCTGTTCACAAAACTACAACTCTCCAGGTCCCCTGGGAATGAGGAAAGATGATGGGACCCATTTATTCTTTAGGGAAGGCACCCCAAAACAAGGGGGTTGGAGGGCTCCCTCCCCCTAAAGGCAACACCATCTCCGGTTTCCAGCTTAACTGGCTGGTGAAAATGCAAGACAGCTCGGCTCGGGGTCAATTGTGCCGGAGTTGCTCCCGGGATATGAATGACCCAAAACGGGTGTGTGTTTGTGGCAGAAATCCTGTTGCACAAGCACGCAAATAGCATAATTTTTAGACATGAACTGCCATAAGTTAAGTCTTCAGAGATATTATCTGTTGCATACTGCGTTGCAGGAACTTGCTTTATGGCAATTCACCACTAAAAGACAAGCTATTTGTATGACCGCACAACAAGATTTCAGCCTGTGTTTGTACGCATAGAGCTTTAAACATCTTAGCCCTCTTCCCCCCACCCGGTTTTTTGGACTGGCTAGAGAGTTCTGGGAACGTTATTCCAAAAAGGTAACATTATCAAATGCTGTATGTGTGTACGTATTTATTTGCATCATGTCATCAGAGTAGCAGGAGCCTTTAGGAATGACAGAAGCAAAACTTGACAGTTCCCTGCCCCAAAGAGCTTGCATTTTGTATATTCCCACCAGTTAAGCTAACAGATTGAAGAGAAAGGCGAGGCCAGCACCAGCAGAAGATAAGGGAAAGTGAGACCCTAAGTATATTAACAGACGGGCATCACGCCATGTCAAGGGTCATCTCAATTGGCGGTGAGGATTGAACAGAGCCATCCAAAGTCTTCTCCGACTTGACTTAAAAGTGAGGCTTGTGCTGTGTAGACATCCATAGGACCGCACTGTCCCAAAGGCAGGAGGCAAGCTTTTGAGTTTCACAGCACTCTTCTTGAAACAGAGACATTCCACCGTGTCTACAGAGAGGGGGAATGGCAACAACCGGATGATCTTAGATGCTCATATTAACCCCCATAAAGCCGATTGCAGGAAAGGAAGAACAGCCCACACTGTTTATCCTTCTGCTTTTCAGATTCAAAAAATCTTTGGGGGGGGTCGCCTCTGTTTCAAGATTCACCGGTTTCCTTTGCCCCTCTCTGAGCAGCCAATGGTGGTGCTTCAGTTGGATACCTTGAGAATGGCTCTTCCGTTCGGCTTTGTATTTCCAGGGGACGGAAACATTACTATTCTGAACGAGGAGACCCAGCATTTCCGGCGGGCATGGCCACCAGCTGGGGGGGGGGGATTATGAAACTTGTCCTTGAAGGAGGGAGATGCTTCCAGGTTCTGATCTAAGCCCAGGTGATGGGAGATGCAAGATTGGGAAGAAGCCGAATGTTCTCCAGTGGCGAGACAAGAGATTGCAATCGTTGGGAGATAAGTTGTCACAGGACTGAGACCACCCTGGGCGTGCGTGCGAGTGAGTGGAGGGAGAGCTTCTCTGTTGTGCATAAACAGTCCGTGAACAATTAGACGGGTAGGAAGAGAGAGGCAGAGACCTGAAGACACCGCCATGGAAGCTGAAGGCGCAACCGACATCAAGCGAGCCAGGGCGATAACTCTACTGGAAGCGAGGGGGGGAATCAAGGAGGAAGGAAGCAGGAAAGGGCTAGGGTTGGCTCACTGGTGGTGGTCGTGGTGCAAAGGGAGCCACACCCGTACTGTGGAGGCGAGCTTCTGTGGAATGAGCCGACCAGACTGCAGGAAGTCAAGGAAGGAAACAGGGAAGAAAGAACTGGGCTAGCCGGAAGATGTCATGTTCTCCAGGCATCTGAGGGTCAAGGGGTGATTGGCCAGTAACTGGAGAGGATCAAAGGATGTGTTTCTGAGAAGACGAGAGATGGTATGTGTTTGAAGGCAGTGGGACTCAGGAGAGAGAGAGAAAGAACAGAGATGCGAAAGTTACTTGGCAATGTTCAAGTAATTAGTTCCATTTCCAAAGATGTAGCCCTGTAAGTCCACAACCCAGCACAAGAACCCAGTGGTATCTTTAAAGCCAACAAAATACTGTATCACAGTTTGAGTATTTGGGGAGTCCTTACCGCCCTCAAAAAAACAAATAGATTCCTGTATTCGCGATTGGCAATGTTCAAGTAATTAGTTCCATTTTCTAAAGATGTAGCCCTGTTAGTCCACAACCCAGCCCAAGACCCCAATGTTCTGTGGTATCTTTAAAGCCAACAAAATATCACAGTTTGAGTGTTTGGGGAGTGCTTTCCACCCTCAAAAAAAAATCAATTCCTCTTAAAGAAGTCGTAAGATTCTTTGTAGTGAGTTTTGGCTTTCAGAACAAAGAGCCAAAGAGCCCAAAAGCAACCAAATTGATTCCTCTTAAAGAAGTCATAAGATTCCTTGTAGTGAGTTTTGGCCGCAGGTGGCTTGTGACTGGTGGCTTTTGCTGCGAGAGGCTACAGACGAACACAAGTGAAATTTTGGGATGAGGGACCCCCCCCTAGCCTGGTCCACAAGGTGCCCCAGCTTACAGTGGTAAGGGAGAATTCTATTCCTTATAATCGCTGGCATGAGTCGGCAGTCTAAATCTCAATGGCCAAGAGCCACAAGTTAAGAAGTCAACTCTGGTTGTGCACCGAGTGACTGTGTCAACCACGGGTCTGGTTGACACAGACCCGTGGACTTCATCACGAGCAGGAATTGACTGCTAAGACTGATGCCATTTGATTTCACATTGGCTTGTGCAGGTAGCAGTATTCTGGCTGTCGTTACAGATCCATTCAGTAGTCATTGTTAGGCGAAAAAATTGTGTTATTTTTCTCAGTATTCGGAAGTGACTCATAGAGATGCTTTGCAATGACTTTACTCAAAACCACAAAAAGCATCACAGTGATACAACCTGGCCTAAGGCACCCCAGGGAGCAGAGCTAATAAGTCTCTGTAACCACTGAGAGCAGTTAAAAGTGCCGTTCCCATCACAAAAGTTACACCAGGACAGAAATTTCCAGAGGGGGAGCTCTGTCCGTTTGTCGCCTTTTGCGGCCAAACGAGCGAAGGGTTTTCTGGAATCTTAAGGGCAAAGAGGTTTTCGGTGGAAGAACCCAGGCAAACTGTGTCTGGAGAAGCGAGCCCATGGTCCACGGAAGGAACTGTGGCAGTCCTTAAGGTGCTACGTGGCTTTTTCCCACGCTTTCGCTGTCACAGGTGGGAGAGCAAAATCAACTTGAGTTACAGTTCTCGTGCTCCTTAGGCTGCAGTCACACTGGCAATAAGAGCCACATTTAAGCATCATTTAAATCGATTTAGATTTTATCGTTCACACAACGCAAGGGTGAAATCCATTGATATGGGTTGCAAAGCAAGTTTTTTTTGGGGGGGGGTTGTTTCCAACTGGCTGGCAGGGGCTTTTTAAAATTCTTTGCTTTTAAAGCTGATTTGGTTCAATGTGGTTTGTGGAAATGAGTCCATTTCCACAGTGTGGGTGCCCAAACCAGTTTAAATCGCTAGAATTAAATTGATTTCCATTCAGTGCATGGGAACGTGGCCACCAGTTTAAACACCACGCAAATCAGACCTGCTTTTTAGAAGGTCTGGACAGAAATGGATTCAAATTGCCCACGGGACCACAGCCTTACTTAAATTTACATGTCCCATTCGTTGCAGTGAGTCTACACCACTTTAAATGTGGCAAAGAAGAGACGAGAAAAATCAATTGCTTGGGGTTGCATTTGGGAAAGATCATACATCTGGCATGACTAGTGGAATTCTTTGGCTGTGGGATTCTTTGAACTGTAGCCCAAAAAAGGTCAGTTTCAACACCATTGTGACTAATCCGCACAAGTACAATAGTAAAACGATAGCAATCTGTCGCCTGGGATGGCTGGCTCACTGTGCCTAATGGTAGGACTAGCCCTTAATGGAAAATCTGTCGGTCAGTCCATCCGCCTATACAAACCATTTTAATATCACCCATTGTCACGTCAGATTTCAGGGTAGCTGAGCAGCATAACATGAAACAAGGAAACGGGGTAGGCAGATCTTGTAATGGGGTAAAAAATACTTAAAAGGATTAGTAAGATCTGTTAAAATGGGGGAAATTGAATTTTGAGGGGGTGTGATCTCTCCCAAATGAGAAAGACAGAGGAGCCTTGCGGTGCAGTGGTTAAACTGCAGAACTGCAGTGAAAACTCTGCTCAAGACTTGGGTTCAATCCCAGGTAGCTGGCTACAAGTTGCCAGCCTTCCAAGGTTGGTGAATTGAGTACCCAGTTTGCTGGGGGGACGGGTGGGGGGGGAGGCAATGTGTAACCTGCATATTTAAATTGTAAACTGCTCAAAGAGTGGGTTAAGTTCTATAGGGTGATATTGCCTTGCCAGAGTTGGTGCCAGGCAAAGCTCTTTTAAGACGGGCACTGCAGAAGCAGGGTGCTGTGCCAAAGTGACCACAGCCTTAGAGACAGTGAATTAGAGAGAAAGGAATTAGTTGCAGTTGCTTGATCCTGGTAACTGGTCACTTCCAAGCATTGCGTGATAAGGTGGCTATAAGGTGGCAGGGAAGGGAAGGCAGAGGAGAATATTTTCAGGTGCAACGTTAACCCAACCAATCAAATTATCCAAAGAGTAGCCTCTGGACCAAGAAGTCTGTGCCAGAGGCAAGTCAGACGATGCAACTGGACGGTCAAAAGACCAGTCGGGTCGGCAACACGGCCGCCTGCAGAGTTTGGAAGCATTGACCGCTTTGGGCTGCAAAAGAGCCCATAAGCCAGGATCGCCACTGAACCTGCTGGCCAAGGAATACTGGGGTCTGTAGTCCAAAAA